ACTTTGATAAAACCTTACGTGGAGACTGTGAAGTTTTCTTGTTTAATTTCCACACATTCTGTACATGACATTTTGATGTAAATCCAGCTATATTGCCTAGTCTGGATAACTTATACTCCTAGAAATGTACGCGTCTATTAGTTGCCTGATTGGCGTCATCGGTGTCTTCCCCTGTAACCACTGTCATCTACTGATGAATACCTCGGTGCTCAGTCTGGAATGTTGCCGTCATGCGGCTCATGCAGAAGGTCATGACATTCGCTGAGAGCAAATGTGAAGGAAATAGTTTTGAAAACTGATCGTATATTGATGAATTGCCTGTAGAAAATGTAAAAGAGACAGAATTATGCCAGTTTGTCATTACCTGGAGCATCTGGAATCAATGAAGCTTAAAGTTCGTTGGATTTATGAATGTAGCTGAGGGGAAGGTTGCCGTCGGTTCTTTTATACAATCAGCGCGCGTTTGTCCCAGAGGAAATTATACCGCTGAAGAAGGTGACACAAGGCCTGGCTTACCAGCTGCGTGTCGTGATGAATAAAGGCAGGGTTGCGGCGTCGTGTCGACTTCAATGTCGACATATGCCCGGGATATTTCATATAGTCTTCCAGACAAATCGGAAAATAAATTGGGAGCATTTGGGATGTCGTGTGGTGGGACATGTTACGACTTTTAACGCGAAGCGTTGAAGTGTGGATTTGCTGTGCTCTAGTCTTGACAGCACTACGTATACACGGATAGCAGAAACATCACTTAAGAGTCTCAGGCTTGCATAGATGTCTGGCATTAGACCTCTAGAAATCTTCCGTGCATATCTAATCAACATCAATGTATAGGTGCTCTACATGGCCTAGAATGTGAAAACCGAAATAGCTCAGAATTATCGGTTGTCAGCTTTGATTGTTTTGCCAACGATCTTGAATGAAGGCGTCTCATTAAAACATCATCTTGGAAATCTCAGCAAATCCCCGCGAATACTTATGCATAACCACTGCTTAGTTGTGGTTCCATGGCTTAAGAGGAATCATGGGAAGGGAATGCATTATGCATGACGCTGAGGACCACGGTAATCATGCTTCATGACCCAGAGTGAAACAGGAATGCAAATACTGGGGGACAGGTCAGCTGCCTCTATTGCAATGTCATCACAGTTTGTAAGGAAGCGTCACATGGCTGCCGCCCGGGAGGGAGTCGGGGTGTGAGGTCAGCAGCCTGCCTGATGGGTATTGGTTCTTTTCTTTGCGGCATGTAATCGATATGATATTCCCTGATGGACTGTCCCGGGTTAGAGAGGGGAGTCACCCTGATTGTTTGAACGATGGTATGACGTAGCGGATCCCACTGGCAACGTTTTGCTCTGTAGATAGTGCAGAGTATTAACTTGAATATTATATTTTCTGTATCTGTATCGGTAAAGCCGGTATAACTGCCCTTCGGCGTAACACACCAGCTATTTTTTTACACTCAGATCTAGAAATACACACGTTCAGTTATTGCAAACATACCTTAATGCCGTCTGGCCTATGGTACCTTGCATTCATTTTGACCCAATAACTGCAAAAACATGTTGAAGCTTTGCTGATGTTTCGTAGCTGGATGCATAGTGTTTTCATTTGAAGTAGTTGCTTTACGCTAGTTATTTTAAAAGTAAGTTGCACTTATATATGGTAGCTAGTCATGAGGATTGTAGCTCTCGGTTAGACTTTAGATTTTGTTTGCCCTTCATTGCCAATTGTGAATGTCTTTCATTTCATGAGGTACACGATTTGTATTCATCCAGCTCAACACTGGCGGATCTGGGCTTAACGTGTTGGAAACTAGATCGTGTAAGCCCGGTGACCTGAATTCTCTGACTGGAGAATCTTGGATTCTTACCAAATGTTATGAGGGATTTGTCTAGCAACCACCAATGTAGTGATATTAGATTCTAATCTTGTTTGTATTTCATCAAGTTCAATATGAGCGAACGTGACGTAGAATATTTAGTGAACACCGCACCAGATAGGATCAATACCATCAAGAATTCGACTCAGCGCGTCCGAGACTGTATTCATTCCCTTCACGATCTCGCTGTATTTCACTCGCCCATGTGACCGTTGATGACCTAATATAGGGGAATCCTTCCCTTGATCTTCGGTCAAAGCGGCAGCAAAGCACGTTAATATTTGCCAGCGTCTGCGGAATGGAGTAGCATAGAAAAACAGCTTTTCCCCAAACGCCCCCCTCCCCCATCGCATCTCTCCCCCAGTACCTTATCAGTACGCACACATTCAGGGACGTGAGAGACTTGGTAAGATTACCGCTAAATCTACCTTCAAGGGCACGTGTGCGCTGCATGCTGAGATTTATTGACTCCTGTTCAGTGTAGAAAATGGTGGAGATCATATCTAAACAACGCCGGGGGCCATCCAGGAGACACATCTTCACATTTCCCATTAAATCATTGGAACATTTCATCATCATTCCAGGATTTAAAGAAAACAGAACAAGCCTATATAGCCGACTTTTACTGCTTGACAGCAATACAATTTTGGTTATATTTGGTGTGGTAACGTTTGGATGAAGACGTGTAAGTAAGGTCAAACAGGATTTTAGTGCGTACAATTACTCAATCAATACCGTACCCCAGACACGTACTTAACTGCACCGGCAGCTTCCTGACAGTGCTTTCATTCCATCATAAATCACATTCTTGCGCAGAGACGTGGCAGGGTCCTATTAGAAACTTTCAGAAATCCTCAATGTTACCTCAATGGACTAAAAGAAGGAGAAGAAAATTCCCCAACGGCGAAGAAATGCCAATGTTAAAATCCCATACAGCTTTGCATAACTCTTTATTGCCAGTACATGTCAGGTGATGGGGCCTCGTTAGTCAGTAGTGATAACATTTGATTTGCAGCGGCATCCAAATGATTTCATTACTGCCAGGTTCAAATAAAAAAAGATACTGAAGAATGCTAACTTAACAATGGTATATAATCATACAACAGTGTGTGATAAAGGTGCCTATTCGGCCATAAGCGATTTACTTTGTATTTTATGCCGTCTGTCTGATTTTGCAAACACTAGTGAGGTTCGATATAATTTGGTTTTTATTTGATTTGATTAGAAATGCAACAACACGCTATATAGGCCAAAGCAATGCAGCTATATGTAGTCTATATGAATGAAAGAGTAGATGAAAGCACAGCATAGATGTAAATAAATCAAATCAGTATACGATTAGCCCAGTAGTCATACAGATATAGAAGACATAATCGAATCTCAAATTTGTGTATGTATGGGCTTATATACGAGAAATATCCTAAAAGTTCGTCAGACTGTGTGGAGTTTTATTTCTTAGACAATAAGATGCAAAGATGATAATCTAATCATACAGTACGTCTGACTACAGTAAGATGGGCTAAACTGACGGCGACGTTTCTCATGGGTTAAGTAGAAGTGTCAAGTCGTGTCAACCTGCTTACCCTCAGTATCCACGCAGTGTTAAACCCGGATCTACGTGAAACATCCACAGACATGTATCCACCTCAGAGTCTCTGCCTGATGTACGCCCGCCGTTCGGCCCAGTGTGCTTAGCTGTAGTTTTCTCGTTACTGACAACATGGATCACTAGCTCTTCACGAGATAGACTACTGAGCTTTTAAAGTGCACCCTTAGGTCTCCATTTGGAGTGGCATTTGTTAAGGGCAGCTCAGGCCTCGCCTCTTGCGTAGCACATCTCTTTAAGGGCTATTTTCGATGAGGACGTTAATAACGTTGGGCACGTAGGACCGAACCGAGCGAACCTCAATTCCTCAGAATGACAACCTTTTAGGCTGTGATGTTCAGGAAGTAAAATGTCTACAGACCTTCATCACCTCCGTATAAATCAGATGGGTATATTTTAAGACATTTCTCAATATTTACAAAAATAATTCCACATTAATGCAATCTAGATTGACGGCGTGCGTGCATCTTTGGGAAGCTCCATAATATTTGGAGACGCCGGTGCAAAGGTGCCTGGGAAGCTGGTGTGTTATACCGGCTGTACAGATACAGATGAATAAATTATGCCCAGGCAGAAGTTGGCTTCCAACACCTTTTGCACGACAAACAGAACAGCCTATCGTAACTCATGAGGTCCGCACAAGGTGTTGACACGTGACGTCACGGCCGCCATGTTGGCTGGTTAAACCAGCCAGTGCTGGCGTCTTAGTCACGTGAGGCGCAAACACCCCGTAAGTTTGATACACCAATAGTAGAGCAGCTCGCACGTTAGCCATAATTACTCATCTGCGCGACAGTCTCATAACTAGGAGAAACGGTTGCCTTTTGGGGGGACGATTTGTGAACCCTCCCTCTATATTGGGTGCGTCTGTTGATCTCTGTTGGCCAATCCGGGCAACCACCTTAAGCATGTATATAACCATCCCAAGTAATTGACATGGAACATGGCCAGCGACGTCCAGCATAGAGCTCTTAACCAGTGTAGGTAAGATACCGTAAAAGAGCGTACCAAAGAACTTGCTTCACATCTTTATAGCCTCTAAAGCATGGATGATATACACGCCGACTCACGCCGTAAACGGGCCTTTCAAATGTAGCATGAAACTGCCTGCTAACACAGGGTGCACAGCCCGCGGCCGTAATGGGCGCTTCTAACGACCCGACCATTACTTCTCTACAAAACTGCTCTTTGTCTTGGAGAATAGAGGCGGGGAGGGGTATTTTTACTTTTGTTTCATGATCAATATATCAACATGGTTATCAAATTAGATGTATGAATATATAGTCATGTTACCTCCTCAGGTATTATTAATTTTGTCATCTATGTCTCATACGAGTCTTGTATAAAGTAGAAAACCTGGATTACAAGTACAAGGTCTCCATCGATTCATCATTCTGGAGCTATATGTGGTTCTATATTTATTCACGTTACCTAGGGTATTCATGACTTATAGGGTTGGTTGTTCTGCTTGGAAGAGTCTTATTAACAGCTATAAAATTATTCTTCTCACAGGGTAAAGAGAGCGGCTCCGCGGAAGAATGCTTCACTGGAGCTGGATGCCAAACAAGCGCTTTTAGTACAACCTGCAACAACAGCTACGGCCGATCGGAGTGCCCTAACGGTGCCAAGGACAGGATTACCAATAGTCTGACATACCCACCAGCACGGATTCGTCATAAAAGGGAACCACAATGAATTATTTACGGCGACGATTCTCCGATACGAACATCGCGGCCAATTTGCCGAACGGCTACCTGTCAGGTTTGGGCGGGGAGGACGACAAAAGCCAACAGCAGCCGGCCGCAGCACCGCCCCGCGGGACCAGCGCACCCTCCTCGCCGGCTAGGTCCATGCCGCCCGGCGGGATGGCGGGAGGGAGGGACGGGGAGAGGAACACCACCAAGACGCTGCTAGTCATCGACGATCAGCACACAGACTGGTGAGTAGACACGTCTATCTAGACAACGAGCGATCGCCATGACGTCATGCATGGCCAGCGAGTACCGGTAGGCAAAAGGCGGGTGGCAGTTGGGTGATGTGCCTGTCGATAATTTGCATATGTCTGCAAATAACTTGTTTGTACATATTTATGGTGTAAACAAAAACAGCGATCATGCCGTCTTGATATTCGGCACTGATATAATATCTGCATATTCACTGCCGCAATGATTTCGTCCCTTGCTTAGAGCATACGGATGGTTCGATAACAATATGTCCGCTTGCATTGCAGCGAGCTATATTAATTCAGTGAATATTGAGATTACAATCTACCATCTGCTCCACAGAAGAAGTTAAATCAGTATCCGCTAACAGTTTTTCCTTCATCGCAATGTAACTTGATATTCACGAGAAATGCAATGCTTGGAACGATAACAGCAAATACTAACATCTGGGGCTGAGCAGATGCCAGACTAGATCAATGTTTGCAGAATATAACAGTCGAATTTTAAAGTGTGACTGTTACTATTATTAGAGGAGAAAATCATAACAGGTAGCCTTATTTCATGACGTTATTGATTGGTTTTCATGCAATGTCGATTTGCTTCATTGGTTTTAAATGTTACATTTGACTTTTATTGATTTGCATACAATCCAGACATCGTCTCGGTGATATTCCAGCTCCCCTATTTTACTGACAGTCAATGTCTGTGATTCTCTGTCTATTATTATCATGGTTAGTCTACTGTTGTTTTTTGGTCGATAACATATTTTGGCAGCTGTGGTGTCAACTCAAAGGGAAACGCAGAGATATCGTAGTGGAAATCAATTTCCAGTCACGATGCAAATGAAGTGTGCAAACCAGCGGTGAAGGGTCTGGTGAAACTGGACGTCTCCGTCCGTGGTGCTGAAGTACCCACAATTCACTAGGTCACACCGGAAATGACGTCAGACACAGCGATGTGCCGATATTTGATTAATGACACATAGACTGAGTATTAGCATATCTGACTCGTGTAAGTCAGTCATCAAGAACACATTCATCCGTTTTGTTCCTGATTATTAGTAAAGCAATTAGTTTCCTTCTATCCTGCGTACTAAAGGTTTATCACACGAAAGATGCCATTTTAAGGCACCCTGCAGCTCTCTATATCTTCCATTATAAACGGCTTAACGCAGTAAATCAGGAAAAGACTGTTCGTCATGCTTAATGTTTGTTCTCGTTGATGGTTCGTGAAATCACGCCCGCCGCAGCCCGGTCGTTGCTCGCAGAATGGCTGTTCCCGTCGCGTTTGAGTTACCGCGGGATTACCAACCTAGAAATTGTCCTCTTAAAAGGGATTAACGCTTAAGACGCCGTGTCGAAACACACAGAAGGGATACAAGACGTCCAAAAGATAAAAATGACATGACAGGATTTACATAACGTTTTAGGCATGAAAGAAGATACCGAGACCTTTCCATGCCCCCCTCCCACACAATCACTTTGTCTGACGTCATCCAATAATACCTTCACGTCCAAACGATATTTGAAAATGACATAACGACAAAGCTGTGACGCCCCAGGGATCGTGACAAAATGTGGGGCTGTTCAATCGCAGGGAGGGGCACGTAAGGTACTGTAAATTCTAAAAGTTCGACAACAAACTTGAGGTTATTTCTCAGAGCCACAAATACAGGACCTTGCTTCCGGCCTTAGGTCCTCCTGTGACAAGCAGACGCCGTAGCAGAAAAATACAAGACTCGCAACCAATTATTTTAAACTGTCGTGAAAAATGACGACCTACTTATCTTGTGTGTTACCAAACTCTGAAAGCTTCGTTAAGTCAATTTGTATTCATAACATACCAGGCGATATTAGTATTGACGTAAAGAGTGGTGTAAATGAGGTAAACCTGACGTGAAAGTTTTGTTAATGACAACTCATTAGTAAGCAGACGGTTGTCATAAGATTACATGTTATGGGTTGTCACTTGTGCATGTGAGTGTGTGTGTGTGGGGGGGGGGGGCATTTTGTGTTTGCATGTGTGTGTTGAACTTAAAAACATACCTTTTTTGTCTGTAACGATTCCGTCTCTGTGTTATCTCAGGGGCAAGTACTTCAGAGGAAAGAGAATCAACAATGAATATGAGATCAGAGTGGAACAGGCGGATTTTTCGGAGATCAACTTGGCAGCGTACTCTGACACCGGCACCATGATTGACATGCAAATCAACCGACAAGGAACCAAAGTCGTACGGTAGGTCATCGACCCTGCATGAGCTCATCGACAGAACGTTCTGCGCCTGCGAGAAACTCGTACGAGTAATATAGTGTAAACAGCACTTCGGCAGAACGTCGCATTCGGGTACTATTTCAGGATAATATCCCGTCTATAGTTTTCAGATGTTGTGTCAGAAAAGATACTATCTGCAACGGGAAAAATACTGCTGCTACGTTGACCCGTTCTGCAAACGTGCCTATGTACGGGGAATTTACACTCACGTGACTATGACGTATGTCGCCGCCATATTGGATCATTAAGCCTGCAAGCTCCCTGGCAAATTTTTATGCAAACACATGCACATTGTAGATGTTGACAACACTGACTCGTTTATACTCTGCCAACCAGAATGGCAGCATCACATGCTATAAAAGATGTATCTATTAATCAATACACTCAGCCAGAATGTTCAAATCGCGCTCCTAGCGTCCGTCGGACGTATCGACCTCCTGAAGCTTTATACCGCATAACATTACCAAATCTCCATGAGCATGATTTAGTGCTGCGCAGGCTATTCAAGTAGAGTCGGTCCAATTTGCAATACTTTAGCCTTACCGCACAATAATTGCGCCAAAATATCACCGGCTCAACCCTTGAATGGACTCAGGGTATATCAGCAATTGTGGCTTTAAGGAGCGCCGTTTAAATTATGGTCTCTTCCAAACCGCGGATAAAGACCGAAGCATTTCTGTGTCGACAAAAGCAATTAACGACAGCCGGAGAGAACCGTCTTCTATTGATTTTTCCCAAGGGTCGGATATAGGATTGAATGATAATCTATTAGAAGAATGTGTGCTTTCTTCAGAAATCGATACTCGTCACGATTTGATCTTTTCAGAAGCTCGGGCTGATTTAGGTAAGCCTGTGGTCTTAGCATGTGACCTGTAACGCGCTTATTACGGTGCGTATATAACACACTTAAGCTTTGCTGCAAACGTTAGATAAGGGCTGTTTCAACGAGGCAGAGCATTACGCTTTTTACCTTGGGGCTGAACAAAGTATTGGAATATTTCTGGTTATGAATGTATGCCGGATACAATTAGCAATTCATTATCCATAGATTGTATAAAACTATATCATATATCTACACGAGAAAAAAGTAACGAAAAAGAGATAATACGGTCGGTAAGAGATGATGATGAGGACTGCCTTTAACATTCCGTATAAGGACAAAAAAAAACACCGTAAAATGTGTGGCACAACGAAACAATTACAACAGCCGTCTCTCGACTGGCATTCATATACATTTTACCAGGATTTTGATTCCATTCTACTTCTCAGAAGCGGCAAATGATTAAGCGTGGTATAACCTTTATGTCACCTGTAAATCATTCTAAGCTTGAGATCAAAATCTGTCCTGAAGATTGTAGTTTATAGAGAACTGTGCGAATTTGCAGTAATGACATAAATTCCCGAGCTGCAGCTCGGCCTAAAAGCTAACAGTCTATAAAATTTTGCTGTAATAAAATAAATTCCCCAGGTGAGGCTCGAACTCACAACCTCCGCATGGCTCATGAGCACCACATACTGCTTATAAGTACGGCGCGCTAACCGATTGCGCCACTGGGGATATGTGAGGATCAGGTGACTGCGGTGGTAATGGTGTAACAAGGTCATCAAGAAATGCGGAAGCGGACATTCTACAAACATCGTAAACTCCCTTCATGTTCCGCTTTACGATACATGTATCGCGTATCAGTTTTTATATTACTGAATACTAAAATATACTGAAGTCTAGATATAAAGCATAAAACCTGTAACGTTTTATGATTCATATTTTTGTGGATTGCTGATGTTTTGGGTTATACGCAGCTGCGACTGAAAGAGCATCTCAACTACAAAATGATGCTAAAATGTTTATGTTTTTTGTGGATATTATATACACATCCAGCTGACATGAAAATGAAAAAAAAAAGTGGCCGCAGGTGTTTGGCCCCTTGCCATACATATATAGCAGTCGTGCGTTGTCTACAAATTTCTCTTTCAGTCACAAATTTTGTCCCGATCAAGTGTTATTGTTGCAAGGGTCATTCTCCTAATAAACCTTGGGATTCAAATGTTGTTCTTATCATCCTTCACAACCCTTTGTACATTGAAAGGAATGTCGCTTTGCTTCCGTTCTTGTGGAATGTTACCGAATGGGACATTGACGCCAAAGAAATGTTATGCGTTTGCTCGCAAATACTCTCATGTTTCCCTTCTTGTTACCTCCATGAAAAATGGAGGTATTGTTTTTGGCGTGTCTGTCTGTATGTATGTATGTATGTGTGTGTGTCTGTCTGTCTGTCTGTCTGTCTGTCTGTGTTTCCGCAACTTTGTGGTCAGCATAACTTCAGAACGGCTTTATGGATTATGATGATATTTGGTATGTTGGCTAGTCTTAGGAAGATAAACGTCAAGGTCAAATATGGGCCCCCTGGTGGATGACCTTGGTACTGCAGCAGAACTTGGTTTTTGTATCTTTTGTCCTGAACATGCTATGGT